AGAGGTAGACCTTCTATCTGATGGTGATCCTGCCCAATCCGTATCACAGTAACAGACAAACTTGGAATTGCCTTTGTTCTCATATAGGAGTCCACAATTCAATGCTTTCTTGATATATTTGAGGATCCCCATCAATGGCTATCATGAGGATTGTTGATAAATTGACTTACCACACTTCTTCTTCTTTGAAGATTTATGCTTTTATTTTTTTTTTTCAACTTTTTTTTCTTCCTCTCTTTTTAATTTCATTTGTACTTGATCCTCTATCACTTGTGAAGGAGATAAAGGATGAAGTACAAACTTCTTTTCTTTGTGAGTGAAATTTATTTCATTGGTAAGGCTATTATGCATGGTTTTCTTATCAAATTGTCATGGCCTTCCCAACAAAATATGGCAAGCTTCCATGGGAACTATGTCACATACCACATGATCTTCATGGTTACCAATGGAGAACTTTACTTTCACTTGTTTATCTACAATAATATCCCCATCTTCATTTAACCAATGAAGTTGATAAGGTTTGGGATGGGGAATTGGAGTGAGGTCTAGCTTCTCAACCAACCTTGTGCTACAACAATTGCAACATGAACCACTATCCACAATGAGAGAACAAGCTTTATCAGAAATTTTACACCTCGTGTGAAAAATGTTCTCTCTTTGTGAGATATGAGATTCATTAGGTTGACTTCCTAGAAGCCTTCTAATCATCAACAATTGACCATCATAGGGATAAGCTCTTTCAACTTGATGGTCTTCCTCACTAGTCTCACTGTCACTTGAAGTAGTAGAGCTAGATTCATCATGGCTACTATAAATGTCTTGTCCTCTTAAAATCATGACTTTCTTATTTGGACATTGAGAAGCTATATGACCTCTCCCAAGACATTTAAAGCATTTGATTTCACTAGATTTACCACTAGAAGTGATAGCATTTTTATTTTTTTCTCTGTCTTTTTCTTTTTCTTGACCTTTGCTAGAGTTTTTAGAAGAATCATATTTAGAAAATTAACCCTCCCTCTTGTAATCCTTCTTGACATAAGAGTTAGATTGAGTTTTATCTTTCTTAAAAGAATTTTTTCTCAAATGTTGTTGTTCCACCCTTATACAAAGTTGGACCAAATCATCAAGGTCCCTATAAGGGAGCAACTCAACTCTATCTCTTATGTCAAAATTAAGTCCACTAAAAAATCTAGCAATGGTTAACCTTTCCTCCTCCCTTATTCCAGCCCTCATCAAATACAACTCCATCTTTTGTCTATACTCCTCCACACTCAAATTCTTTTGTTGGAGTCTTTGGAGCTTATCCATAAGCTCCCTACTATACCAAGAAGGAATATGCCTTCTTCTCATAGCACTCCTCAAGTCATTCCAATATTCTATAGGAGGATCATTATGAAATCGCCTCTCTCTTACCAAGGCTGTCCACCAATACATAGCTTGTCCTTGGAAAACTAAGGTGGCTAAGGGAACTTTTCTCTCTTCACCTACTTGGTGACAAGTGAAGATTTGCTCCACTTTCATTTCCCAATCCAAGTAGGCGTCTACATCTTCTTTTCCATGAAAAGGAGGGAGATCAACTCGTGATTCCCTAACCTTTGGTTCCCTAATGATTCTTCGAGGAGTAGGTTGGTAATATTCATCCACATTCAAACTACCTACATCTTCTTGGCTTGTAGAGCCATGGGAACTCTTATGACTTTTCTTTTTATTGAGTTTTTCCAAAAGTTTTGCCTCTTGTTGCTTAATTTTGTGTATTTCCTCCTCAAGAGCAACAAGTTGTACTTCCCTTTCAATCTTTTCTTTTTTCTTTAAGAAGTACCTCTTGTTTTCTTCAGAGTTTTAGTGCTTCAACCTCCTTAACAATTTGAGAAAAGCTTTTAGGAGATTCCAAGTCACTATCACTTTGAGAAGGATTACTTATGATTAAGCAAAAAGAGTTTTATATGCTATGCAAAAAGAAAAAAATATTTTTGGTCTTTTCTAGGAATAAGACTAACACTTGGAAGTCTAAGTGTACAAATTGCACTATCAAGGGAGGTGAGCTACTAAGAGCCCCTTAATAACCAAGCCTTTTCAAGTGGAAATCACTAAACTTTCTTATGGTAATCTCAATTCCACAAACTTTTCACAAATGTTTAATGATTGATGATTTTCACAATTGTTTTTTATTACAACTAAACGTGAAAAATTTAAATTCTACACATGCTAGTCGAATTAACAAAGCAAAGTAATCAAACCAAGGAAAGCAAAATCAAAGGAGAAAAATGTTAAGCAACTAGTCGGATTTTTCCTAAGTGGAAGCTTGAAACATATTGAATTTCCAAGCTACTTCCACTAGTACTACACGTAATTATAAGAAATTAGATATTCCTGACCAGCTTCTTAATACTCCCTCCAAGCTATTACAAATTGATTGAACTTAAAGAAAAAAAATGCAAGAAAATTAAGCTAATCTAAAACAATTTGTGACGGTTTTAGAGACCACTTTAGTGACGGATTTTTCAACCAAATTTTCCAGCACTTGTTTGAGTGCTTCAATCCGCCACCAACCTTGATCCTTTGATGCTCCTTGAACCTGCACAAATAACACAACCAATAGGTGAACTTAGGCTGCTCACAAGATGAATGGAAGGATCACTCTTGTGATGGTAAGTTTAGGGGTTTTTAGGTCACCAATTTAGGTCAAATTTTAAGTCCTTTTGTTTCAAAACTCCTTTCCTACTCTTGTTGAGTCAATGTTTGGTTCTTAAGCTAGGATTTAAGGCCCCTTCCAGCACAGAATTTTTAATAATGAAAACTTAGACAAGCAACAAAAGCACAATTTAGAAAGCTTATACCAAAATTTAGAAGAATTCAAGTGTTTAGACAAGACTCAAAGAACACCAAGAAATTAAAACTGAAAATTAAGACTCCAATGAAGGCTAGCATTCAAATGGATTGTTCCTAGATAAGCACTAGAATGGATTAACAAAACTAAAAAAAATAAATGGAATCAATCACCAAAGAATTTAGGTCAAAGCTAGTAGATCATTCACTTGACTTTTGGTTTTTCTATTCTCGACTTTTCCTTTTGTTTTTTTTTTTTTTATCTTTTGTTTTTCTGAATTTGAAATGTATTTCCAGAGAAAGTGAATTGCCTTTTACACCAAAATTCCTCAAAACAATTGAATACAATTCGGATCTACTAGAATTGAACCATTTTCAAGTAACAACTCAAATTCTAGTGCACTAGTTTTAACAATATGTTTGGATCCTTTTGCACTTTGTTTTTCTCTTCTTTTTTTTATAACTATTTTGAAGTATTTACTCTGTATTTTTCTCTGTTTTCATCAACCAATTTTCCAGAATTTAGATCCAAAATCAATCATGCACTAGAATTAGGTTTATCACTTTAAAATTCAAAGTAACAATTATGGAAGCAATATTTGCAATGGAATTTAAAAATTTGAAAACTCTTAAACACAATGGAAACCTAACTCTAGGAGTTCACCAATGATCTAATAGTGAACATGAACTCAAGGATGTAAAATAAAAGCTCACAAGCAAGGCACATCTAGTAGAAATGAGTCTCGGCCAAACTCAACAAAAAATTTAATTCAAAATTTTTTTCAGCAACACATTACAATCACATCTTGATTTGTTGACATTTTAAGCAATTGCACATGACTAGACAAAACTCAAGATTCAAAAATCAAAAAACACCACATGCATATGACTCCAAATGACCGAAACAACACAAGCAAGAAAATGAATGACTCAAATCAAAGAAACAATGGCACAAGTTGAATCCTAGACACTATTGATTGCGGATTGAAATCAAAATGCAATCAATAATTGGATCTATAGAGAATTTGATTTCAAAAAGATATAGATCCACAAGGAAACTCAATTGTGACAAATTAAACACATGAACATAGAATTTCAATCGGTCAAAATGATGTACTTATCTCAAAGAAGTCACCATGCTCTAGATACCAAAAATGATGGTGAAAATTATGAAGAAGTGGACGGATTTCCTCCCATAGCCTTCACCAAGCATAAGATCATCTTCTTTGAAGTTTGAACCGATTGAATGAAGCATAAGAGACTAGGAAAGATGACTTGGGACTTCTAGACTAGAGATGGAAGCATCCTAGCACAAGAAGCAAAGGAGAGCTCACTTTCAAAAGTAGGAAATGAGGTAGGGTTTCCTAATTCTAAGTGTGGCTCTCGGTGACCTTTGAGGGAGAATTTGGCTGAAGAGTTTTTCAGAAAATTCTCATTGATTTGAAAAGTGAGAATACAATGTAATGAAAGGCATTTATAGGCGCGGAAATGACTAATGATGCACCAATCCGTGGCAAGCAATATTGGCGCCAAATTTGAAATGCAAAATTGAATTTGAATTTCAAATTTGGTGATCCATGTGCCTAATCCGGATCATGCTATGTCTTCATGTAATTTAAGGGTAATATGGATTTGAATTTGGGCAGTACATGGCCGGTCATCACCATGCTAACCATGTGACTCAAATTCACTCCAAATGACTCTTAAATAACATGTAGATTAACCCTAATGCACCTATTAATGACTTCTTAGAATAAACCTATTCTAATGGCCTAAATACAATGGTCAATCAAATACAATGAAAGAAAAAAATTACAAGAATAAGAATGAGCCCAATATTGGGTATCAAAAGCCCAAAGGCCCATGAAGCCCAAAACTAGGCCCAATAAGCCTAAAGCCCAAAATCCTAATCTAGGGTCCATAATACAAGACCAAAACAATGTAAATTCCTACACTACTAATATGCAATAAAGTGGTGGTCATTCAAGCAAAGCCCAAGTGCAAAGCATCCTAGGCCCACCAAGCGCATTAGGCCCACTAAGCTCTGAAGAAGTCAAATCTTCAAGTAGTCTTCTAGCCATTGCGGTTGGACCCTTGGTCCGCGCTCTTCCATCAATTTCCCACACTTAATTTTATAGCTTTTGATGAAAATGTCTTCTTTAAAATTTGTGCAGGCCTAAGACATGATCGCGAATGGATTCTAAAAAGCCTTGCTGGCGAAATACTTACACAGAAAAAGGTAATCTGTTATATATGACAGACGAACACTAAATTTATATCATCTTGGATGCATACTTTAAGAACTGCATCTTCTCTTTTTTGTCTATTTTGTGCTCCAGTTTGGTTGAATATATAAAAGTAGTTCAAGAATCATGGCTCCCAAGAATCATGATTCTTGAGAATTATAAATCGTGAGAATCATGATTCTTGGGAATTGTTAAAATATGTTTGGTTACTCATAAAAGTCCTTGAAAATATTCATACATGATTCCAAAAAATTAAAGATTTTCATATTTGGTTATAATAGTATATTCCTAAGTTTATAAATATTTTTTATAAAAGTATCCTTTATTAAAATAAACTCATTATACATATTTATTTACTTAAATCTTATTACAAATATGATATTAAACTATTTTAAAAAGTTGAAAATTTATTAAAATTATTTAATTACAGTCCAACAAAATATATATATATATATATATATAAAATAAATAAAAATTCTATATTATAATTAAGAAGAATAAAAATATATTATTTTATTTCATTCAAATAAAAAAATAAAAAGGTGTTAACAAATACCATTAAAATGTAGAAACAAAATAGATTTTAATAATATTATTAAACTTGACAAGATCAAGAAATAATGAGATAAAAAAAAGAAAAAGAGAATTAGAAATATGGGAGGGAGAGAGAGAAGGGAGGGGGAGAGAAGGAGAGAGAGAAGGGAGGGGGAGAGAAGGAGAGAGGAAGAGAGGGAGAGTGAGAGAGACAAAGTTCAAGAAAGAGAGGGAGAAAGAGAAATAGGAGAGACAGAGAGGGAGAGAGAGAGAGGAAAAGAGAGGGGTAAAAAGGTGTTAACAAATACCATTAGAGAGAGAAAAAGTTAAAAAAAGAGGGGGAGAAAGAGAAAAAGGAGAGAAAGAGAGGGAGAAAGAGAAATAGGAGAGACAGAGAGGGAGAGAGAGAGAGGAAAAGAGAGGGGGAGTGAGAGAGAGAGGAAGAGAGGGGGAAAGAGAAATAGAAGGAAAAAGATTTTTTGTTTCAAAAAAGGATATTGTCTTTTTATATACATAAAACTTTTTCCTTTACTCGGAAAAGTTGGATTCTCACCCCTCTATGAGAATTTTTTGTGGGAAAGTGGGATGAAAATGGTCTCGGGAAACTATATTCTTGGGAATTCTTTTATTTATTTTTAAATAGCTACTAAATATGGAGAACTAAGATTCCCATTTTAAGATTTCCAGGAATGTAAAAACATTCCACATAACAAACACTTCCTAAATGTTTGACTAAGTACATAGAGTGAAAAAATATTTAATAGTATTTTTGAATTCATATATTGATATCTCTCTCATTCGATTTTAGTACTAAATATTCTGATTCATTAGGAAATCAATCTTTATGATGTTGATATTTGTTGGAAAGCCGCGGTCAATGCTAGCTTGGCTTAAGCCTTTGTTTGGTTTAGGAAGGAAAATAAAAGAAAAGAAAGGAAAAGAAAAGGAGTAGAAAGTAAGATGATTTTTATATTGTTTGGTATAAGTGGAAATGAAAAGTAAGAAAGAAAAAAGTTTCCCTTCTTTTGTTTGATTGTCTAGAAAGTAGAAAGAAAGAAAGAAAATATATATGTATATAATGACACATATCCTTAATAGAAAAATAATATGTATAAAAATAAGGACATTTTAGTATTTTTATTTAAGAAAGACATGTTTCTCTTGCTTTCTCCAAATTGAGAAGATCTCTTAACTAATGGGAACCACTTACTATTTTAAGTTTCTTTCCATTCCAATAAAACACCAAATGACGGAACGGCTAAGATTTAATTTTTTCCTTTCTCTTCCAATATGTTTTGCTCACTTTCTCCTATTCCAAACTAACGCTAATTGTGGTCTATAGAGTTGGTTGTCGATGTCCCAAAAAGGGCTACCTACCTACACAGGTATTGACTAGAAAAGCTGAATGAAGTGTCGTAGTATGCAGTTAGACAGATGCTGCTCTTAGGAAGTTGAGATCTTATATTGACTAGAGATAAGGCCTAAGTAGTGCTTATAAAACATACGCAATCCTCATCGTACAAACTAGTTATACGGTATTGAGTTAGACTTTAAACTCTAATTCTAAGAATATCATATTTGGTATTTTTCGTGATTTCCTTTCTTGTAATTGTCATTGTGGTCTTCTATTTTCTTCCCCCTATAAGGGGGATTGTGCTACAGTATTGTTATTTAGTAATATAGACAATATTTTCAAAGTGTATTAATAAAAAAATAAATTGTGAAAACACAACATGTAAATATATATATTCCAAGTTATTCTTTGAGAAAATCAGGTTACTAGTACCACCAACAAAATCATAATAGCCTGTATTTGACCTCCTATCCAAGGGACTCATAATCCAATATTCACCAAAAAGGGTTTAGGAAATTTCCATAATACTGATTACTTGAAAAGGAGAATAATTTTATTATTATTATTCATACATATTACATTTTCCTTATACCTATTTGTAACAATCTAATCTTCTAAAATAAGGAAATAAGGAAAAATATTCTGAAAAATATCCTAGAAGATTCTATAGATATTTTCTCTAATTAGGAAGATTTTTCCTCTAATTACAACACTCCCCCTCAAGTTGGTAAATGAATATCAATCATTCCCAACTTGCCTACAAGATCTTGAAATCTACCCTGAGGGAGCCCTTTTGTAAAAATATCTGCTATCTGAAGTTCTGTAGGAACATGAGTTGTAATCACAAAGCCTCTGTCTAGATTATCTTTGATGAAATGTCTGTCAATCTCAATATGTTTGGTCCTATCATGTTGTACTGGATTATGGGCAATGCTCATGGCAGACTTATTGTCACAGTATAGTTGCACGGGGTTGTCCACCTTGA